GTTGAACATATTTCATGAAATCACCGATGCGGCCCAATTTACATTGGCATTTAAGTAAACAGACTGGTATGTGTGATGTTCGTTCACTATGTTAGCCTCCAAAGACCGTAATTTCAGTTTGAAAGAAAACTGTATCCATTAATGTTCATAACGTGTATCGTGCCAAAAATTAATTAGATTAATACTGCGAATTGCAAACTTGAATCAGTTTCGACATCATTTCCAAATTCATCACCTTTGAACAGATATGAAGCAAAACTACAAATGGTTAATTAATATCTTTTCAACTTAATTAGGTATTTTGTATGTGTAAATTTAAATACAACTTTCAAGACTTATTTGTAATAAGGTTTAGAACACATTTTTCGCATTGACTTCTAATAAACGTTCCAATTTATATAATAAAACAGGAAAAAGCACCAGCATCACTATACCCGTGACTGCAGCTACCAACATTTCCCCATCCATTGTGAGAACAGCTTCCAAGTGATGCCTCTGAGCCTGAACATCCCATGCCGTTTAGCCATATCTTACCCGTCCCTCGTCCAAGCCACGAAGCTCCTACAGTTTTGGTAAAACCAAGTTGACGACAAGCCACCTTGGCATCATCCATGCCCCAGCTACCATGACATACTGTTCCCCATTGACCCTGGTGATACACTTCTACGAAACGTACATAGATTAACCTTTTTTAGCCGTCTTTTTACAACAATTTATTTATAATTCTTATACTCCATGCACGCCAAAACGTGTTTAGTTTAACTAGGTTTTTCTAAATTATATAATATGCCAGCATTTGATTTCGATGGAATGAAACTACAAGCCTTGGTAATTCACCTCTATGAAACCTATCAGTATCCACTAACAAACAACACATAGCATTATACACTGAAAGAACATTATAAATGAAGTAAAAGCATCATATTGGTGAGTATTGCAGGCAGAGTAAACATTTCCCCATCCATTGTGAGTACAGCTTCCAAGTGAGGCCTCTGAGCCTGAACATCCCATATTGTACAGCCATATCTTACCCGTCCCTCGTCCAAGGTACGAAGCTCCTATAGCTTTGGTAAAACCAAGCTGACGACAAGCAACCTTAGCATCTGGCATATTCCAGCCATAATTACATACTGTTCCCCATTGACCCTGATGATACACCTCCACGAAACCTATATGGACGACACTAGTTTAGTTCTTCTAGTTCAGACTTTTAAACTCAATAGGTTGAAGAGTATTAAATTACGTTCAAAAATGAAGTGTTTCCCAAAGTAACTTTTAATTGTATGAATCTAAACTACGCAACAGGAAAAACGAAAAATTAGAAGTCATCACCTGAATGTATTGTAAGATATTACTTCCGCTCACAAGAGAGATTACTGAGAGTGGCTCTACATCCACTGTAATTCCAATTGGAATGATACGATACGATGATACGTCGATAAAATCCCTCCCCACTAACGGCTTCTTACTGGAGCACAACATTCCATTCCAATTGTTTGCGGTTAACCAATCAGGAGACATGCCCGTGACAGACCGCCTCCTTGATTTACCGCCAAATATAATAAACAATGAGCCACTGGCTTATATTTGTAAACTGTTTTATCATCTAAAACAATGAATAAAACAATGAATGAAACTCCCAAGAAAGTGATAGATAGTGGCGAAAAGTGTTTTCTATGTATGGCAGCTGTTCTCAAGAATAACAAAATATTTGTTTTTGGAAAAAGTTCTCTTGATATTCCTGGTCTAATCAAAGCTGCGATCGTCGATGTGAATAAGTATTCTGAAAGCGAGGATTTGTTCGTTTGCAAAAATACCTGCTACAAACGGCTTTTAAAGTTCAAAGGAGCATTGGATAAATATCAGAGGGTTAAGGACGAAATAAGCGAACAGATTGTTAGTAAACAGGTGACCAAGAGATTGATACGGTCAGAAGAGAAACGACAAGAAAAAACGACACAAAATTCGCGTAAGCCGTGTTTATCACACCTCTCTTCTCCCAGTGAAAGGACAACCTCTAAATCACTTCAGCTCTTAGACAATACAAACCCTACCGCTTTTACTTCTTCCACTGACTCTGTTCCAGTTGCTCAGCAGTCTTTATTTTTTCCTGACTCATGATTTTACTTCAATTGGCCTAGCTTTTCTCAACTGCATGCCTCTAATGACCCGGCAAATCCTTGTGGCGGGTTGGTTTTGAATGCAAATTCACAAAGATATCTCTCTTGTCTTCTTCATACGACGCCATTTTGTTTATATATTTAGGCGCGTTTCAGTTCTCGTTTTCAGGACTAGAGCCGTGATTGGCTAAGCCGGTGCAATGGAATGTTGTGCTCCAGTAAGCAGCCGTTAGTGGGGAGGGATTTTAGACTGACACTCGGAACGGCTGCAAAGGAGACTAAAGCTACAAATCAGGAGGAAGAAGTTTTGAATTAATTTTTTGAATATAAAAAGAGCAATCTTTTTTTTTTTTAAACATATAATGTATTTTTTATTTTTTTTACAGATAATGCAATAAAATACAAACATACAGTTAATTATACAGTTAATTATTCAAGGGGGTTAAAAAGTTTCTTTAACGGTTTCCATTTCTTTTCATGTTTATCTAATTTGCTTGAATCTCTCGCTATGATAGATTCACACATAAAGGTAATCTTTAATTTTTTTTGAAAAGAATCTATAATTGGTGTGAGTTCTTTAAGCTTGCAAAGAAATACATAATGCTTTGCCTCAAGGATGATATGATTTAAAAGCTTGTAATATATATCATCTTTCTCAAAG